ATATACGAGATAATCAATTATCATATCACATCATATCATTAATCAATTATCATATCACATACACACACACACACAAACATACACACACACGCACATACACATACACACACACACAAACATACACACACATGCACTCACAAGCACACACACGCACACATGTACGTAGACGCACACACATACACGCACACACACACGCACATACACATACATAAACATATACGCACTACGCATACACGCACACACATATACACACATGCACTCACAAGCACACACACACGCACACACGTACGTACACGCACACACAAACACATACGCACAGACACACACACGCACACATACAAACAGACACAGGCACACAGAAAGACTCTTTTCCCTACTTTGATCGAATGTCAAAATATTGAAAAATTTTTAAATTAATTATTTAAAAAAAATCCCTCATTTTTTTCCTAATGAAAAAAAAGAAAAAAAAGGAAAAGGAAACTGAATCTATTAACCGTTTCAAATTTCTACGATGCAAAATTGTCCAATCAATTGATGTCATTCATGTCAACTGTCAACTCGTACATCTTTTAATCACTCAAAATTGGCCCAATTTTCAAGAAGGTAATTTGTCAACAAAAAAAAAAACTTTTTTTTAATTTTCCAAATCTTTTTATCAATAAAAATTTAACCTTTTAATTTTTTAGTTTGTAATTTGAATGTAAATAAAACAACATATTTGTTTGTATTTTTTTTTTCTCACTAAAGAATATCATTGTAATTTAATGAAATGTATTTCCTAATTCTGTTACGGGAGTTTATCTTACTCATAAATAATCATTTAGATATCCAATAATAATGATCAAATCAGGAAAATCAATAATCGATTATATTTAATACAAACATCTGATATATCATCTCATCAAAAACAATGCAAACAAACAAATTCGTATTGATAATATTAAATGATCATTATTGATTTTTTTTTTTAAATCAGGAAAATCAATAATCGATTATATTTAATACAAACATCTGATATATCATTTCATCAAAAACAATGCAAACAAACAAATTCGTATTGATAATATTAAATGATCATTATTGATTTTTTTTTTATTTTGAATTTTAAAAATAAATTTTGTCCTCGATCACAAATAATCATAATAGGAATTGAAAGTAATGGTATTTCATTTTCATTTCAAAAAATTTTCATCTACATTAATGTTTCAATCACTTGTTCATGAAAATATCATAACAATTACACTGTGAAAGTTTAATTCGAAATATTTGCTTGCATTTTTGGTACTTGAACAAATTAATTACCACCTGATTAATTAATAGTATTTCCTAATTAGGAAATATGAAATAAATTAAATAAATATTGAAATCC